CGAGAGCCTTGGCGAGGATCTGAATCTATCGAATTTACGAAGGATCTGAAAGCGTCTTATTCTTTTCTTATTATCACAACAGTTACACATACATCCATACATTTACATATATATATATATATATATATAGTATATTTATCTATTAGTAATATATTATATTATATATTTATTTTTTTTTTATTTTTATTTATTTATTTATTTATTTATTTATTTTCTTCTTCTTCTTTCTTCTTCTTCTTGCTATCTTTCCTTCTTCTTCTTGCTTCCTTACTTCTTCTTCTTCTTCTTCTCTTCCTTTCATTCTTCTTCTTCTTGCTTCACATCCATGTGAAGAATTATCTCTTTTCCTCTATTAATCCCTTCCTCCGCCCTTCGCTGAGTGGCGAACAGAGGCCGGCGACGGGCGTCCTTCGGCGATCCCTCCCCGAACCAGCGCCTTCCTCGCCGACCTCCGAGCGACCTTTCCTCGCCCTTGTTGCAGCCTTTCTCGGGGAGCCCTCTCTTGCTCGACGAGCCTCAAGCTTCCTTCCTTCTCGAGATCGATGCCTTGTTCGCAGCATCTTCTCAAAACGCGCGTCTCATCAGCCTCCTCTTCGATCGCGCCCATTCTCTGCACTAATATATGCAAAATCTAGTTGGCTTCGAATAATTCGTCCTCCCGCCGCTCGTTCCCTCGCCAGGTCTGTCCCTCGGGTCGTCTTCTGTAGCGGCGCGCGCGACGCCTCTCTCCCCGACGTCCGTTCCCCTGCGCCGCGCATTGCACCCGAGCGGCGCCGCTTACCGCCCCTGGCCCTGCCACCTTCCTCTGGCTCTCCGCCCCTTCTACTGCTTCCCGCCTTTACCTGCTGGCTACTCCGGCCCCTTCTCTTGGCTCTCGCCCTTCACTCTTGGCTCTTCTCGCTTCCTCTCCAACGAATTCCCTTTGCTGATCAACGGCGCGGGTGGAATTCCATGCGCGGCCCCGCTGTGCGTCCTGCGGTTTCGGGATTATGCAAGGCCAATCTGCTGCACCAGTAAGGCTGCAAGATGCACCGGCAAGGCCTCCTTCCGCCCTTCATCAACCGTGGCTCTGCATGGGTGGCTCACGGGGCGAGCTTCCCACCTTCCCACCGCAGATCTGTCATGAGGATGCCTCCCTGAGACGATATGAACCTCCGCCGACTCGCCATTTCTCGTCGGCAGCGCTCAAGGTTGCATGGGCTGGTGGTTCCTATTTATCTGCTCTCGATGGATGAACGGCCTCTCGATCTCAGGCGCCCCCCTACAGTCTNCACGCTGCCCGGGCTTCAGGGGGAAGCAGCGCTGCCCTCCTCCTGCGGGCGAGGGCATGGCGAGGGAGGAGCTCAAGGCGGGAAAATATGCCAGAGTATATCGCTTGCCAGTAGTAAACGGCAAAGTAAACTGCAGTCGAGAACACGGGATGTGGCGTTATTTTTACTCTAGAAACTTTAAGAAGAGTTTAAATTTCACGATCTTTTTGGTTTACAAACTTTGGGGTCCTGCTGTAGTCCCCCGCGTCGAGTGGCGCCCATGTTGTTCTTTGAAATATGTTATTTTATGTAAATATTCAAATAATCAGTTTCTGTGGTTATAAAATAAAATATGTCAATTGAACTTTAATGACACTACTTTAGGATTTAATTCGTCAATGAAATATTATTTAATGACAAACTGTGGTATATCGGAAATGAAAAGAAAATGACTTTCTTATCCTAATTTTCCCATACAACGCCCTCTCTGGTTAAAACAAGTACTAGGATTTTTTTTTCAATCCCGGACTCTTTAAATGAACAGTTCACCCTAAGCTCCTGCTATCGCTCTGAAGACCTCAGGAGAGTGGAAATGAACTACAGCCTAATTTACTGAAAACAATAAAGATGGACTTTTAAAACACTATAATGACCCGATTCTGATAAATGAGTGGCTAAACAATTTAGTAACCTAACTTCCATCGATTGGCATGACCTGACTCTGACCCAGCATGGCGTGCGAGGATCATGACCCTTCACCTTCGCTCCGATGACACACTTCCTGTCGGGTGGACCTGAAAAGTCTTGCTTTTGTCGCTTTGCTTGGGGAGGGAGGGAGGGGAGGGAGGGAGGAGGGAGGGAGGGAGGGAGGGAGGGAGGGAGGGAGGGAGGGAGGGAGAGAGAGAGAGAGAGAGAGGAGAGAGAGAGAGAGAGAGAGAGAGAGAGAGAGAGAGAGAGAGAGAGAGAGAAGAGAGAAAGAGAGGGAGGGGAGGGACGAACGGGAGAGAGAGAGAGAGAGAGAGGAGAGAGAGAGAGAGAGAGGAGAGAAGAGGGAGGGAGGGAGAGGTGAGGGAGGGAGGGAGGAGGGAGGGAGGGAGGGGAAGGAGGAGGGGAGAGAGGAGGGAGGGAGAGAGAGGGAGGAAGGGAGGAGAGAGAGGAGAGAGGAGAGAGAGAGAGAGAGGAGAGGAGAGAGGAGAGGGAGGGAGGGAGGGAAGAGGAGAGAAGAGAGGAGAGAGAGAGAGAGAGGAGAG